GCACACTCTCTGAACTTACCCCAGTCAGCTAAGGAAAAATGTAACCTAGCGCTTCTTTCTCCATCTTCAACCAGTGTGTTACTCCCCTCGAGTTTAAACCAGGCTCAAAGTCATTCTTTTGGTTTTAACAAGCATTTATTCGACTCCAGTCTTTCACATGTCTTTACATGTAAATCAACCTTAATGTCGACACATGCTGTCAGAACTATAGAAAGATAAAAAGAAACTTAAAATTAACCCTCGGATACAAAACAGAAGTAATTACACAATAAAAATAACACAAATGTACCTAATTGGCCACATCCACTCAAAGGGAATAAAGTCTTGTACTTTGAAACCTTTTGTGTCTTTCAATTAAGGTTGTGCAGCCGTAAAAACTTCCCCTCGAAACAATATGCAATTGGAAGTGGAGAAAATTAACTAAAATAAAATGAAATTAATTAACATGAATTTACAGAAAAAAATACTTATTTATGCTATATATTGCTTTTTAAAATATTCTACTATATATCTCAATATGAATATAATTTATTATAAAACATTAACTTAAATGTATGACAGCTGCCACTGACGGCAGCTACACAGTGACCTCCCAAAATAACTGAGCACTGGGAAGTGGTCACTACCCAGTGAGTCTGGTTCTACCCTCCACTCACCTACCCGTGCCAAACATGGGGATGCAAGTGTTAAGTCAAGGTGAGACTCTTTCCAAGATATTGGGTCTACCCGAGTTGGTGCACTGGTATTTAAAACAACCAGATTTGCAATATCTAAAAATTCTTCAATTACAGTGCCATTAAAGTCCTTTTCTAAACCCCCCAACAGTGGATTGTGAACATTAAAATCATCTACCCAAATCATTGGCATTCCTACTTTACTAAAAATATCTTCAAGTTCTGTTAAAACTAATGACATACATGGATTATAACAGTTAACTAAATTAAACTTGCCCTCATGACACCAAACCTGAGTAATCACACACTCAAGTGAACCGTCCCACTTTATGGTCTTATACTGAATACCTGTTCTTATAAAAGTTGCACATCCTCCACCACTTCTTTAGTGTCACGTCTTTCCGGTGACACTCAAAACCTGTAACAACTAGAAAAGCACTCAGAGAGCGCAGACCTCCGCCAAGGACTACCCCCATTTTTTATATAAATTGCGATAAAATCAGTCTTGTGGATCAGATCCGGATCAGCCTTGGAATATGAAAGAGGATCCCATTGTCCATCCCTGAGTCAAATTTCATGGGGTTTGGTCAATAATTAACCAAGATATTGAGAAACAAAAATTTTGGCCCCATTTACCACAATGTTAACTAAAATTTCAAAGTGATCCAGAATCCAGGATTTCTTCCGGATCACCCCCAAAATGAAATCAGTTCTTCCTTTTCACATTTCCAACAAATCCTGAAAATTTCATCAAAATCGGTCCATAACTTTTTGAGTTATGTTGCTAACAGACAAACGCCGGCAAAAACATAACCTCCTTGGCGGAGGTAATAAAATCAATAAATCAATAAATCAATATCAATACATTTCTTGAACACAAATGGGGTCTGGTTTTGGATCAGACTGACTGTAGAGTCAGACTGACTCACTTCAACTGTCCTCATATAGGCGAGTTTCAGCTGACGTCATTGTTAATAAAAGCCCGCGTTGCATGCTGGGAAATATTTTGGTCGGAGGCAAGAAACATGATAGCAGTCAAACACAGTGCGTAACCTCGTGTATTTATCCCCGATAATGGTAAATTCCTGCTGCATTATCGGATGCACAAATAGAAGCACGGAAGAAGGAAAATGTCTTTTTCATATTCTGAGTGAAAAGAACCGTTAACGGTGAATTAAATGGCTTTTAAACATTCGCAGAGCAAACGTAGAAGATCCTAACAAACCGTGGACTCCAACAAGTTCAACAACGCATCGAGACTCTTGGAGGTTTTCATCTTTTCTGCTGTGAATGGCCCAGGAGTTTCCACCAAGTAATTGTGGATATCGCCGAAGTGAATATTTGTCCAGGTAGTTCGCGATTCTGACCAGAAATTTGGTTTGGTCCACCTTTTGTAGGCATTGAAAAGGGTGATTTGGCGTCCATCGATGCTTATGACCAATTTCTGGTCAAATCGTTTTCGGTCCTCTGCCGTTAGAGTGGATAAATAACCGGGATCAATACCCTTTACGTGCTTTCTCGCTCTGTCCGTCATGCTGAATTAGTGTTTCTTGCCGCCAACCAAAATAATTTCCAGCATGCAACGTGCGCTTTTGTCAACAATGAAACTCGCCTATACTGGAACATGCTCTGTGGCGAGGACTTTCTAGGCCCCAAGAATCTATTGGTGGCTTCTGCTACAAATTGAATAATATCCGATCTGGACTTCTTTTCGTGAGCCCCATAGATAACATCCACAATAAAAGCCAATAATGATTCCCTCTGAATCACCAGAGTATTATGATCTCTAGCTACAGCTGGAGGCAGTCGAGGCTGCACAGGAGAGCTCCCTGCTGTGACACCCACAGCAACAGGGAAAGCGACTCCCTCCACTCTTCTCAGGGCTTCAGCATATCTAAATTTGTACTGCTCTTTTACTGACTGTACATTCTTGGCTTTCACAAAAAATCTGCACTCCCTAGAACACAGGTGTCAAACATACGGCCCGCGGGCCAGATCCGACCCTCCAAGACCTTTAATCTGGCCCTTTGCTGATTTTCTACAAAAATATTTAATGATATTTTCTATTAAAATATTGGTAATTTTCTGCGGTGTTTATCACAGCAGTGTCTCCAGCGTCTCTCTGTGTGGCCCCTCCCACCAGAGAAGCACGAATAAAGACTTGTCTCTTTCCAAACGCTCTTAAAGGACGATCATTTTGACTGTTGACCATGACACCCTCATCAGCAAAATGTCAAAAATGAGAAAAGTGGAGCCGAGCGCAGGATTTTCCAAGAAAAATTAACTTATCACTATTTGTATACAAGTCCATGTTAAAACATTGTGTTGAAATTGTGTTTTTCTTAAAGTTTCAGGTTGTTATTAATATTATAATATTTTGTAAATGAAATAGTTCATCAATTAAAAAAGATTTCTGTAATAGATTTGTTTCTCTGCACAAATATTTGAACTTATTGCTATTTTTAGGGTTTATATGCCATGAGTTTTCTGAGCCAGCCCTTTTGGGATCAAAGTAGGTTGGATATGGCCCCAGACCAAAATGAGTTTGACACCCCTGCCCTAGAAGATACCAGATGAGCTTCACCACAATTACAGAACTTTGAGGCTGAAGCACTGCACTCGGAGATATCACGATCTCCCCACATTTGGCACATCTTTTAGAGCCTCTGCACGTTCCAGCCGTGTGACCAAATCTCTGACACTTGAAGCACCTTAATGGGGGCATTACGTAGACCCTAACCTGGTACGACAAACACCCAATAAACACCCGTGATGGGAGATTATTCCCTTTAACAGTGTTGGGAAGGTTACTTTTCAAATGTATTCTCCTACAGATTACAGATTACATACCCCAAAATGTAGTTTGTAATGTAATCGTAAAGTTACTTAAGGTGAGTAACGTAATCTGAATACTTTGGATTACTTGATTTGCTGTAGAGAAGCAAAGACTAAGAATATGTTCACATAAGATGTTTTGTCTGCTAAAAGACAATAAAAAGCCCAGACTTTACTGAACCAAATTAAAAATATTGATAGAAGAGGAGGAAACACGGTCCGCACGGCATGGTTCAGTCCTCTTAAATCCTCTTTTAGTCCTGTTTTAGTCCTGTTTTAGACCTGTTTTAGACCTGGTTTTAGTTCTAGTTTAGTCCTGGTTTAGACCTGGTTTTAGTCCTGGTTTAGCCCAAAATGTGAAAACAGGAAAATACCACCATGTAATCCATTTATTTCAACAAAGTAACTGTAATCCAGTTACCCTTCACTGAAACAGTAACTGTAACTGAATACATTTACTCATAATTTGTACTCTGATTACATAACTCCGGTACATGTAATCCATTACTCCCCAACACTGCCTTTAAATGTGAGCAGTACTGGTGTGTTAACTTTTCCACCATCACATGCTTTAAAATATTTCACCTCCGCCACTTCTCCACCGACCACATTTTCCTTTATCTCCCTCTCGGACATGTCAGCACATACCCCATAAATCACCCCCTTCACCACCTCCCCTTGCTCTGCAACCGTGACTTCCACTTTTTTCCCACATATTTTATTTATTTTTTGCGCTTTACCTAACTGCTCAGCCCCCGTGCAAAAACCAAAAGAGCACCATTCCGTACCACCTGAGCTTTTACATTGTCACTCACATTCTTTAAGGACTCGGCTATTTTAACAGGATTCATTCCCTAAAGCTCTCCCGTTTGATCTTTTAACTTGTAAACAAGCTTGACCCATAAAGCGCAATGCAATGCTCAAAATGACACTGCACAATCAAGCAGTGATTGTGCCCCATTTTCTCTCTCAACCAGAGGTCCCAAATGGTTAACAACAATGATCTAACTGCTATCTAGGGATGAGATGAGACACAAGACTGAGAAATAAGCTAAAATAAAAAAAATGTGAAAGGGTGAAAGGACAATATAATTACCAATAAGAGCAAAAATATTAATTATACCCTGATTAACATTGGTTTGTTCAATTTCTATATTAAATCTGTTATTCTTTTAAACAATAAAGCTGATTTTCAAATTTGGCATATCTGCGTAGTGTCTATATATTATAAACTGTAATTTATTTGTGCAATTTTATGTTAGATTAACTAAAGGAATGTCTGGAAAAAAAATGTGCCTAAAATGGCCAGTAGCCACCACTTTAGGTGAATATTTTATATTCAAGGTAATTTGTGACTGTATTATGTTTCTAAATAGTTTTGAGTATTAAAGTACTAAATGATGTGATTGGTGTAAGAAAAATTGCTGCCAAAATCTATTTTTAAGCTATAAAACAAACAACACTGACACTGATTTCCTTTTATTTTAGGTGTTTATTTTCCATTTCATACTTCAAAGGTTTTCAAAGGAAACCCCAGTTTATATTTGGGTCAAAGACAAAATACACAGTTTATCAGGTTTGGTCATATTTTACATGTTACGTGTGGCTGCAACACTTGACTAATGATGTCAATAATAGTTAAAACTGATGAGAAGATTATGTTGACATAAATGTATGAATGTATGTATATATATGATTATATTTATTTTATTGTCTACAACAACATAGAATAAGGTCCTATTCCAAAATATGTTAGAGTATCACATGTTCTGCTGTTGGAGTGTGCATTTGGACACTTCTCACAGCTCTACACCTCATCACATCATCGAAAACATACTTACCTTGTCAGTAATTGTCTGCTATGGTAATTTTCACTCACACGTGCACAAAAAACTAATACTTTTTTGATGAATCCTCCAAAATTACATTCCCATCCAAAGACATTCTACCACCAATGTGCACATTTAAAATTGTGGTATTGCTTTAACCTAAATTTGTCCTGTGATAATTTCGGATTGGCCTACTTCAGAGTTACTCATGGTTTTCTTAAATTCACTTTATGTCTTGATTTAATCCAGTAGTTTGATTGCGTAAAATGCCTGTGCATGGTGGTGATTTTGAAACAGATTATCTCAGTTTGGCACACAGGCGGTAGGGCTTCGGTGCGCGAACAAGGCTCATGTCCGCCTCCATAGTGAGAGGCTCTCCCTTAACTGCAGAGAAGGTGAAGCGCTGCAGGAGCCCCGAGAAGAACAGGAACAACTCCATCCGAGCCAACTGTTCACCCAGACACACACGCTTACCTGACAACAGACAGTGTAGTGGCTAGTAAACATGACATTTTCCAGGAGTCTCAAAAAATAAGGGTGAGAAAAATGTAGCTCATTAGAGAGGCAGGTGTGACATTTTAAATATGTCATTCACAAATAATTTTAAAACTAACCAATAGAAAAGGGGAGGAAAGCCTCTCTCTTCCTAAATTTCCCATTTTCATCCAGGAAGTGTCCAGGGTTGAAGGTGTCGGGTGTTTCCCACATCGTTGAGTCATTCAGCACAGAGTCTAGGCAACCAACAACCATCACACCCTGAGAAGAAAGAGTTATAGAAAATAAACACAATTGTGTGTAGATTTGGATAAATGATTATTGTGGGAGGGGGGAAGTTAAATTGCACATTAAAATAAGAAACTGGTTAGATAAATATTAAATCAGCAAAAACTAAACAATAAGAAATTGTGAAGATGCTGTAAATCAAACCAGAAAGCTGCGTCTAAAATGCTAAGCTTCTCAAGTATGTATATGTAGCCAAGTGAACTATAAACTACTGTTTTTTAGAAATAGCTGCAATTCTCTATGTAACCAGTACAGGGTTGTATGGTCAGGCTGGGTAATCGAGTAGTTGCTAAAAGAAGCACGTGTGATGTCATCACTGCACAACAAGCTGAGCGCCTCAACAAGAGACTGACATAAAACGGTGTGTATCAGTAAAAATGAACATTTAAATGACTGTTAAACATGGAAATAATCTTTGATATTGTTAGATAACGCTTTAATGAGCCTCATATCTCAAGATTATAGTTGTATTAATTTGTAGAACTGAAGATTGATACAGATTGACTTGATGTCCTGAAAAGTGTGATCCTGCTGAGTTGCTCATGTAGGGGAAAATTTGTTCTACGTGAAGGCGGGAATGTTAAATATGAATCACATGTAATGTAAAGAACTGTTTATGACTGTTTATGTATTTTTATGTGAGACCAAATGTTTTATGTTCTGTAAATTTAGTGGGGAGAGAACACTGTCCCAAGTCCTTCAGAGTGCTGGGTTGGTCTGGGCAATCTGTCAGCTGTTTTGTAAGTGAGTTCAAGTTGACTGTTACACAATGTGAATGACCAATGTAATTTTATTTTGTGTACATGTCAGTTGAACTTGTTACTAAGTGGTGTTTATTCTTTGTTTTATTGTAGCATAAGCCCACTACTGTTGTCTTTTCTTTAGTGTTGGCTTTATTTTATTTTTGAGAGAA